AAAAGTGGAACTAAGGAAAAGCAAGATATATAGCTGCGAGAATTAATGTGAATTGTAGGACAGAAAAAAGAAAAAGGAAAAGCAAGATGTAGGTATTAACTTCATAGAAAATAGCCATTTTTCTTTATCAGGGGAATATCAAAAGTAGCCTCTTAAAAACAAATTTTTAATTTAAAAAAAGTGACTTAAACTTAGGGCTTTCCTGTCAACTTTAAACCTCATGTTTTTATTTAGTAATAAAGACCTCTGAATTGTGTGTGTGTTTTTTGTTTGTTTGTTTGTTTGTTTTTGAGACAGTCTCGCTCTGTTGCCCAGGCTAGACTGCAGTGGCGCAATCTCGGCTCACTGCAACCTCCACCTCCTGGGTTCAAGCAATTCTCCTGCTTCAGCCTCCCAAGTAGCTGGGACTACAGGCACGTATTCCCACGCCCAGCTAATTTTTTTTTTTTGTATTTTTAATAGAGACCAAATTTCACCGTGTTGGTCAGGCTGGTCTTGAACTCCTGGCCTCAAGTGATCCACCCATCTCAGCCTCAAAGTGGTGGGATTACAGGCATGAGCCACGTGGCCTGGCCTCTCTGAATATTTTCTAATAACTGCATTTTTCATATGGATGTGTACTTTGGAGCTAATGCTGCCATCTTTCTTTGCTCTTCAGATTCTGTTGTGATTTTTACAGAAGCTGAGGTTAAATAGAAGTACCCACACACACATTGTGAATTTATAGCTGCAGAATAAATGAGAATTCTTTTCTTTCTGAAATTTACGCAGTTTTAGAAAGTTGTAAAGGTTCTAGTTCATATACAAACTTTGAGAGACAAAAGAGATGATCAGATTTTTTTTAAATTTTTATATATTGATCCTAAGAAGTAGGATTATCTTTAATAAGACCCATTTATATTTTGAAAACTGGAATTAAACATCTGTGAGCCAGGCTCCCAGAGTAGATTCATTTCTTTTTTTTTTTTTTTTGTATTGGAGTTTTTCTTTTTTTTCCCAGGATAGAATGCAATGGCACGATATCGGCTCACCGCAACCTCCACCTCCTGGGTTCAGGCAATTCTCCTGCCTCAGCCTCC